TGCATGCATGCATGCATGCATGCATGCATGCATGCATGCATGGATGTATGTATGTATGTATGTATGTATGTATGTGTGTATGTATGTATGTATGTATGTAATGTAATGTAATGTAATGTAATGTAATGTAATGTAATGTAATGTAATGTAATGTAATGTAATGTAATGTAATGTAATGTAATGTAATGTAATGTATGTATGTATGTATGTATGTATGTATGTTTAGACACGCCTTACATGATCTATATATGCACCCAGGTAGCTTCGTTACAACCCTTACGTGAACCCCAAAGCCATACACACAAATGACCTAGGAGCCTTCAGCAATAGACCTGGCGGGCGAAGGTACCACTAGGGGCCCGAAGCATTGAGGTTGAGGGTTTGGGGTTTTGGGTTTAGGGCAAACACCCTTATGAAGGGTGGATTTCCCGAGGCCAGCATCGGCAAGAGGTAGTCCGTAAGTTCCACCCCTCCAAGCCTCCGGACGAGTTCACCATTTATGGCAGGGATGTGGGTTTAGGGTTATGGGGTTTAGACCCTGAACTCTCAGCCCTAAACCTTCGGCGTAGTAAACCTGCAAGGAGGATCTTCAGGGTTTAGGGTCATACAGCCTAGGGGCCTTAGGGCGGTTTGGGAGGCAGACCCCTAAACCTATGCCCCTGACCAGTTTCTTCCGGTCCGAGGGAGACATCTTGAGGCAAGACTGAGCATTTGCAGGTTTGTAGCGAGAATGCGAGTCTGAGTGTGTGTCTGCGTGTTTTCTATTTCCGTGCCTGTGTCTGTGTCTGTGGCTGTGTTTGTGTCTGTGTACCCTTAACTAAAGCTTACAAACCCGAAGTCCAGCCCTAAACCCTGAACCCTAACCCTAAACCCTAAACCCTAAACCTTAACCCTAAACCCTGAACCTAGATGAAGTTAGACTACCTCACACGGCAGTGGGAAGGCAGGTCCTGGGGGAGTTGAGAAATCTCAAGCAGCCTGAAGACCCTAGACCCTAAACCCTAAACCCTAAACCCTAAACCCTAAGTTCTGAGTAAGGAATTGGGGACTTAGGGCTTTAGGGTTTACGGATTGGGGTGTAGGATGTGGGGCTGATGGGCTCCTAATTCCCCACGTTCCTGCTAAAGCCAGCATGGAGATCTTAAGCTTGTAACCTCTAAACCCTAATCCACCCTGAACCCTCAACCCTGAACCCTGAACCCTAACCCCCTCTCTAAAACCTAATCCACCCGGAACCCTGAACCCTGAACCCTAAACCCCAAACCCCTAAACCGAAGGCGAGGGGCCACGAGGGCCAGGTGACATGGTCCCTCGGCGGTGAGTGGGCCACTCGTCTGCGAGATGTCCGGAAACTGCCACACCCAGATGGATGTAAGGTTTATACTTTAGGGTTTAGGGTTTAGGGTTTAGGTTTAGGGTTTTGGGTTTAGGGTGGAAACCCTAAGCCCCAAATCCCTCCCCCCCCCCCCCCCCCCCCCCAGTAAAACCCCTGAAGTCCTGGCCTCTTACACCACCCTTCCTTACACATTCCTGTTCCTCATGAATTAAAGTTTCAGGGTTTAGGGTTTAGGGCTCAGGGTTTAGGATTTAGGTTTTAGGGTTTAGCAGGAAGCCTGCAGGGTTCTAGGGTTCTATCAGGTTTGTGAAGTGCAGGGTTGTGGGGTTTGGGAAGTCTGAGGTGAGTAAGGTTAAGGTGCAAGGTGTCTAAGTGATATGGCACAGGCTTTGCAAGGAGTTTCGTGTTTCGAGTTCATAGGGCTTAGGGTCTGCGGTTGACCTCGAGGGAGTAAGACTCGCACCCTTGAGGTTGTACCCCTTAAGGGTCCCCTGAATTTACTCCGACCATGGCCCTTATATGACCTTAGAGGATCTTGAACAAGGGTCCCCCGAGACCCAAGGGTATTCTTGTGGAAACTATTTGGACTTCTTAAGGCCTTGTTGAGGGATATGGGCCATTGCACCCCCCTTAAACCCCACTGGTTCCTTACGATAAACCCAAACGGCTCAGGACATGTACTTCATGCCGGCCGCAAATCTGAAGGACGGCACGAAGGCAGAAGATTTGTTGTGCGCTTGTTTACCCCCAAACCCGACCCCTGAAACCTGAACCCTAACCCTAAATCCCAGGGATTCCCTCTTATCCTCGGCTCTCTTGCGCCAAAGACCATTCGAAACAAGATTTGCGGAGGTGTTTCGTTTATGAACCTAAACCCTAACCCTAAACACCCTAAACCGTAAACCAATAACTCCAAACCCTTTACCCTAAACTCTATCACAATCTACTCCCTGGACCCTAAACTCTGCAGGCTAAGGCTTCGAGGTTTGGCACTAGATCCTTGATGCTCGCGAACCTTAAGCCTTCAGCCTGACAATCCCCGAAGAAACTGCGCAAACCCGAAACCCCTCGACCCTACACACGAGACCCCCTTAACAAACCTACACAAAAACCCTAAGCTCTAAACCCTTTAAATCCTTTACTAGTCTTTCAAAACCTACACTCTACTTCCCCAAAAAGCCCAAACTTCTGAGCATAAGACCCTCATGGCATACCGCGAGCGCGCAGTGGACCCGAAAGCCACTAGTCTTAAGAGCCTCAGTTTAGGGTTTAAGGTTCAGGTTTTAGAGGTTTAGAGGTTGAGAGGTTGAGAGGTTCAGAGGTTTAGAGGTTTAGAGGTTTAGAGGTTTAGTAGCGGTTTAGGGTAAGGATGTAGGGTTTTCACCCTGACCTCAACACGATAATCCAACCAAAAGCCACTTCGCGGATTTGAGCTTGGGAACTTGGGTTTAGGGTTTAGGGTTTAGGGTTCAGAAGTGGGGTTGGAAGCAGAGCAACTACGTAGACGCTGTATGTTGTTCGTCACTTAGTGGGGCTAGTTATGACAACCCGCGCACCTTGAAAAGCAACCCAAACCTCTGCGGCTTCTAAACCTTTGCTAACCCTAACGTGGGGCTCTCATCGGGTTCTCGTTCAAAGTCCGAGGTGTGGGAAGACCCTGAAACCCTAAACCCTAAACCCAAAACCCTAAACCCCAAACCCTAAACCCTGTATAAACCGTGAACCTAGTTGAGCTCCAGAAAGACTCCTTGCTCTGGGAGCTCCTGCTGTCTGGTCGCTATAGGGAACCTCAAGCACCAAACCTAGGAAGGCCCTTTGGGCATTTTCATAGTCTCCCAAACTGAGTTTAAGAGGATCATCGTCAGGAATATATAGAGAACTAAAACCGAGGAAGGCCCTTTTGGACATTTCACAGTCTCCCAAACTGGGTTTCGGAGGATCACCGTCAGGAATATATAAAGAACTAGAACCTAGGAAGGCCCTTTGGACATTTCATAGTCTCCCAAACTGGGTTTCAGAGGATCATAGTCGGTTTAGGGTTTAGGGTTTAGGGTTTAGGGTTTAGGGTTTAGGGTTTAGGGTTTAGGGTTTAGGATTTTTCATCCTAGAAGCCCTTCAACCCTAGAAAGCCCCAAGACTCGCCTGAAAGGGCTTTCTATGGAACCTGAAGCACTAAAACCCTTCAACCCTATAGGGTTTGGGGTTTGGGGTTTAGGGTTTAGGGTTTAGGGCTAAAACCCCAAAACTCGCCTGGAAGGGCCCTGAGCCCCAAAACTCGCCTAGAAGGGCCCTGAGCCCTCCTTTGCGAGGCGCTGTACGCTCTTGTGGGTCCGCCGCCAGTGCCGCCGCGCTACGCCTTCGGTTCCTTGGCGAGCAGACGGCAGGGATGCGGCTGCGACTGTCTTTCAAAGACTCTAAACCCTAAACCCTATACCCTAAACCCCAAAGCCCACAGCCCAAAGCCCTTGACCCCAATTGCCCTAAACCCTGTATGCATGCACGCCGGGAGCTGCTGATGCTAGGGTTTAGGGTTTAGGGTTTAGGGTTTAGGGTTGTTCAGTTTTTGCCTTGCGTTCTCTGTTCCGACTGGACCGATCCTAGCAGAAATGCTGGCAGTGTCCAGGCCACAGAGTCAACCCCTCATCACATGAGCCTCTTCACTATCTATACAGCTTTGCTGCTACGCACATATAAATATATGTGCGTAGCACCCGCACCCAACAGAACTGCCATGGTGTCTGAAAATCAGGATTCCAGGATTACGGGCATTCATATGGACCACCCAATCATTTTAATGCTCGCCCCTTGACTTTCGAATTTACCGAGCCAGGAAAAAATTGCACTTCACCCAGCCTCGATGACCCCTAAATCTGCACCCAAACCCTAAACCTGAAGTGAAAGAGCTTTTGGCAACTTAGGGGTTGACGTCCGGGGCTGGATTGGAGGTTCTTGCTTTTGGGCCTGAAGTTTGGTCCTTGTCTGCTATTTGCTTAAGAACCCCCAAAAATGAATTAAACAAAAAGCTAGCAATCCCCGTATAACCCTTGTAAGGAAGCATATGTGCATGTTTTTTTTTTTTGGGGGGGGGGAGGTTCTTAAGCAATTTGTAGTTGCATGAAGTGAAAGTGCTTGTGGAAACTTAGGGATTGACCGTTCCTGGCTGGATTGGAGGTTTCTGCTTTGGGCGAGTGGATGCTGACGCTTGAGGCTAAGGGTCTGAAGGTTCCTGGGAACTTATAAATGGGGTAGCTATAACCTTTTTTAGGGCACTTAGAACCCTACTTATGAGGACCCATGAATCTTCACGCAGGATGTACCGAGACCCTAAACCTTAAACCCTAAACCCTCCACCCTGAACCCTAAACCCTAAACCCTAAACCCTAAACCCTAAACGCTAAACCTAAGCCCTAAAGAAAGCCTAAGTCCGACCACTGCCACAAGGCTTTATGGCCAGCAGGTGGCCTGCAGCTCCGATTTAGGGCTTAGGCTGAAGGAGTCGGGTTTAGGTTTTAGGGTGTAAGGGTTTAGGGTTTAGGGTTTAGGGGTTAGGGGTTTAGGGTTCAGGGTTTAGTGTTTAGGGCTTAGGCTGAAGGCATTGGCTTTTCGATGCCCAGGTGCTGCGTACTTCACCTTTACGAACAAGCCTTTCTCGTTATTGGTAGCCATGAACTACAGAGTAGCCCAGTGGTACCCTTTTGCCTTTGTGTTGGGGTTTAGGGTTTAGGGTTTATAGGGTTTATGGTTTAGGGTTGAGGGTTTCGGTTTTAGGGTTTAGGGTTCAGGGTTTAGGGTGGTTCCCTTAGTCCCTTAGTACCTCTATGGTAATATGGCTGCCGGGCCACCAAGAGCAGGGTGCTCAGAAAAGGGGGATTAGATTTTTCAGGTACCCATGGCTATGTTGGGAAGTGCCCATATAGGGGGTTTCCGAATATGCGGGGGCGGGGGGGGGGGTGGGGTACCGTCTTGGTTTCAGGTTTAAGGGTTAGAGGGGGCACCCTAAAGCCTATCAACGCGGTGTCATGGCAGTTTGATCTGAGACTTGGAAAGCTGCCGAACCTTAAGCCCGAAGCCCTGCCTCTAGAGAGGTTTAGCGTTTAGGGTTTAGGGTTTAGGGTTTGGGGTTTCGGGTTTAGGGTTTGGGGTTTGGGGCTTAGGGTTTAGGGTTTAGGATAAAACGGTACCTTGGTCCCTCCTCAGCGCAGCGTTCTTTATCTCCACGAGCGTTTTTAAGTCTTCAAAACTTCCTTGACACCTTGTCCAAACACCCTAAACATCCCGAAACCCTGGTCCCCCTAAAGCCGTAAAGCCCTCGAACCCCCCTACCCTAAACCCTAAACCCTAAAGCCTAAACCAGAAACCCTAAGGACCCTAAGCCTAGACAATCTGCAGGTGGGGTTGGAAGGACCGTGCCTACATCGAAGACACCATGCAGCGCTTTCGCGACGGGTTCTTCCCGATCGATGCGCCGCGGACGTGGATTCATGGGGCTTAGAAGGGCTTAGAAGGGTTTAGGGGTTAGGGTTTATGACGAGTGCGTGGAGTCTGTTGCGAGTTTGCTCTCCAAGCCCTAAACGACAAACCTCAGACCCTGAACTGAACCACTAATTGCGGCTTAGGGGTTTTTCTTGGATTAGGACTATTAGATGTATCGGTTTGAGGCTGGGTCTGTAGAAATATATTTGTGCGCATTAAGGTCCCAAATGTTTCTAAGGATGATTTGGAAGCACTAGATGATCCAAAGACGACATTCAAGCAGCAGCAGTATGAGTAACGCTTTGTATAAGGGCGCGGAAGTTCAGGGGTTGGGGCTTAGAGGTTTCGTGTCGCATGGACAACATGATGCGTGCCCACAGAATCACCTGATCTAGTCTGGAGTCTTCGTACAAGTCGCAGATGCAGAATTCTGCACCTGTCAAGTGGGGCTGCTTGAAGATGAGTTTCTACGACACATCGTAGCTTGGAGACTCTTGTTTCCGACTCCCTGCCCAGAGCAACCCTGCACGATTGGACTAGCATTCGGATTTCAAGGCTTTTCCCTCCCTACCTTTGCAACCCCATAGGCTCGAGAACTGCAGAAATGAGCCCACGGTAAGCCCCTTTGAATCAAGAAATTAAGGCTCGTACCAATCAGGTTGTAGCCCCACAAGGCTGCCCTTAATATACTCCCAATGTGGCCCTTTAATTTCCTTGGGATTCCTTAAGAAGGTTCCCCAAACCCAAGGGTAAACCCTAAACCCTAAACCCTAAACCCTAAACCCTAAACCCTAAACCCTAAACCCTAAACCCTAAACCCTAAACCCTAAACCCTAAACCCTAAACCCTAAACCCTAAACCCTATAAACCCTAAACCCTAGACCACCTTAGGGGTCCAAGGTAACGCCCCTTGATTGAAGTGTCTGAAGCCAGGCTGTCATCATCGACTTTGAGTGGCTCCAGACTCAGCAGAGCCAACCCGCGACCCTGAGCCCTAGACCCTAAGCCCTAAACCCTAAACCCTAAACCCTAAACCCTAAACCCTAAACCCTAAACCCTAAACCCTAAACGCTAAACCCTAAACCCTAAACCCTAAACCCTAAACCCTAAACCCTAAACCCTAAACCCTAAACCCTAAACCCTAAACCCTAAACCGTCACCACCGACGCTCGGAAACCCCGAGCTGTGGTCCCTCATGGGTTGGTGGGTGGAGGAGACCCTCAAAACTCGGTACGTCAGGTGAAGGTTCGTCCAGGGGGATTGGGGAACTGGGCTTGGGATACGTGGCCCTAGAGTCGAGAGGGTTTAGGGTTCAGGGATCAGGGTTTAGGGGGGGGGATGTGTTAGATGCCAAGTAGTCTTACTTTGTTAAGGTATTATCAAGATCGCCTCAAACACAAAGGCTGGCCGTTTAGCCTTTCTCCCCTGGAGGCCTCAGTCTGTGACTTTCAGGTTTCACAGGTTTGCCTAGGGTAGCCTGAGTAAGGGTATCCTGGGTCCCAATTAAGGCACACGGCCCTGTTTTAGGTTTTCCAGGCAAGGGCACCCGCCCTGGACCCCAAAGCCTGAACCCTTAAACCCTAAACGTGACCCTGCGCCCGAAGTCCGAGAGGGAAACCCAGGTTTACCAATGAGACCGACTACGACTATCCACCGGACACGGGCAAGTCCTACTACGAAGACTTCGGCTTCAATGAGGTGCGACTGCATTCTCTGACTGTTCAGGTTCTACAAGGTTTGGGTTCAACCTTATAAACTCTGAACCCTAAACCGTAGTAGAGCTCAAACCCTAAACCCTAAACCCTAAATCCTAAACCCTAAACCCTAAACCCTAAACCCCAAACCCTAAACCCTAAACCCTAAACCTACGCCGTAGAACTTGCGGTTCAGGGTTTAGGCTAACGCAGGTGCTCGAAGATTTCTCGTCCCTCGGAGCCAAGCCTACACCTGATCGTCCCTAAACCTTAAACCCTAAACCCTAAACTCTTGTGAAAACCCTAAACCCTATACTCCGGCACAGTTTCCCGTTTAGGGTTTGGGCCGAGGTCATCTTCAGGTGGGTAGTTCTCCATAATATAGAGAGTGATAAGAGGCTCAGGAACACCTTCTAATTACTGTATATATGAGGCTCATATGAACAGCAACTACCCACTTGCAGCTGTGATGCGGCGACAACTAAGAAGTCCATACTGCCACAGGGGCTGGGGTTTGGGGTTTGGGGTTTGCGGTTTGGGGTTTGGGGTTTGGGGTTTGGGGTTTGGGGTTTGGGGCCTTTAGGGTTTAGGGTTTAGGGTTAGGGGGGTCCAAAAGGCAGACTCCTTTCGTTGCGGGCTGGTGGTTTCGCAAGGAAGAGCAAGTTCTGTGCGTCATCAAGACGTCTTTTACTGCTGCAAAACTACAAGACCACAACAAACCGTGGGATTCTGCGACTGCAAGTGAGCACGTTTCAAATTTCGGGGCTCTGTGTGGAGATCCTGTAGGGCATTCTGGAAGGAGTCTACGATGAAGGTTGCCAAAACTAGTCTGGACACCCAGTAGTTTGTTTGTTCCTTCCTTCCCTGCTACGCTTCACCGACCCGTTGCACTCAAAGCCGAAACCTTGAGTCTTGGGTGACTGGGAAACCTGTGAACCAGGGGCCCCTGATCTACAACAACCCGGAACCCTTATTGTGGCAGGGCTTTAAGTTCAATTTCTTGCTGCAGGGTGTGGGGTTGAGGGTTCAGGGGCTTAGGGTTTAGGGTTTAGGGTTTAGGGTTTCGGGTTAGCGGTTTCGGGTTTAGGGTTTATAGGGTTCAAGGGCTTCGGTTTCTGGCAGGTCTTGTTCCCGGAGCCACAGTACCAGCTGTCGGACTACAACGATCGCGGCCTGCCAATCGGTTTAAGGGATTGACGGTTTAATACTATATGCTTAAGAACCCCGAAAGATACATAAAGAACTCTTCCTTAGAATGGTAATATAGGGATGTTTCTTTTTTTGAGGGGGGGGTTCTTAAGCGACTAGTAGTTTAGGGTCAATGAAGGGTCCCGACTCGAAAACTGCCAGCATGTAATTGAGCATGATTGAGTTCTTATATTCTTACGTAGTAGTATATTATTGTATTAATACACCTGGGCTCTTATATGCATATCTTGTTGCCCTTACACCCTAAACCCTAAACCCTAAACCCTAAACCCTAAACCCTCCGTTCTGATATTCTTATGTATTAGTATATTGTCCACTGTTGTACAAGGCACCTCGGCTCTTATATGCACATTGAAACTGCGCCAGTCGGGCTCTTGAGCTGGAGTCCCCACTTCTAACCAAGTGCCGGTGTATGTGGAGGGTTAGGGTTTAGGGTTTAGGGTTTAGGGTTTAGGGTTTAGGGTTTAGGGTTTAGGGTTTAGGGTTTAGGGTTTAGGGTTTAGGGTTTAGGGTTTAGGGTTTATATTTCACCCTCAACCCTGAATCTCCAACCCTCAACCCTGAACCAGAAACCCTCAACCCTAAGCCCTCGACCCTGAACCCTAAACCCTCCAAATCCTCTAAACTCAACCCTCTAAACCCTCAACCCTCTAAACCCTCAACCCTCTAAACCCTCAACCTTAAGCCCTCCACCCTCTAAACCCTCAACCCTCTAAACCCTCAACCCTCTAAGCCCTCAACCCCCTCCAAACCCTCAACTCTCTAAACCCTCAACTCTCTAAACCCTCAACCCTCTAAACCCTCAACTCTCTAAACCCTCAACCCTCTAAACCCTCAACCCTCTAAACCCTCAACCCTCTAAACCCTCAACCCTCTAAGCCCTCAACCCCCTCCAAACCCTCAACCTTAAGCCCTCCACCCGGCTCAGGCTTTCACATCAAGGTGGCGGGCATCCGCAAGCCCCGAATCGGCAACACCGCGACCATTGCAGCCATGGCCCAAGCAATGCCTCTTTTTTTGTTTGGTTGTTAGGTTTTTTTTGCTAGGGTTTTTTAAGGGTTTGTTTAGGGTTTTTAGTTTTTTTGGTTGTTCTTCGACTTTAGGGTGTTTGTTGGGGCTTTTAAGGTTTTTTTTGGGCTTTACGGTTTTTTTTAGGGCGTAAGGCTTTTAGGGGTTTCAGGGTCTTGGGAGACTGTGTGTGTTACCGTGTCTGGGGCTAGGCTCTAGGACTTGGTAGTGAGAGGATTCGGTCCCCCTAATATTGAGCCCCCCCTACCCCCCAATATTAAATACCACCCCCTTGTAGTCATATTATCGTAGATTTGGGGGTTTTAAATATGAGGGGGTAGGGGGGTTTAAATATAAGGGGGAGGGGATCAGAAGGGTTCTGGGCTCAAAACCCGACAAAAGCGACTGCCCGAAGCCCTTGACCCTTGACCCTTGACCCTTGACCCTTGACCCTAAACCCTAAACCCTAAACCCTAAACCCTAAACCCTAAACCCTAAACCCTAGCTCTAAACCCGAAACCCGAAACCCTAAACCCTAAACCCTAAACCCTATCCCTCAACCCTAAACCCTAAATCCTGGGTCTAGGATCCCATGGATCTGAGGACGCCCGCAAGAAGGGCTGGCTGCTGAAGAACTGCGAGCCGGGGGGTGGGTGCTTTGGCTGTCCAGGGTTTAGGGGTTTGGGGTTTAGGGTTTAGGGTTTAAGGTTTAAGGTTTAGGGTGGTTTAGGGCGTAGGGTGTAGGATCCTGCGTTTTTTGCTGAGGGCTTTGGTGTATTGCAGGTGTTGAACGGTGACGTTGAAAAGGACTTTTGTATGCTTTGAGGGGTGCATCAAAGGGCTTGTTTAGCGGGTTTACAGGTTTGGAGGGGTGTTTAAGAGGGTTGGTTCGCTTAGTTTTGTAGGAGAGGCGTTCAGGCTGGGTTTGCTGTGTTCAGGGTTTAGGGTTTAGGGTTTAGGGTTTAGGGTTAAGGGCCCTGCCGTACTTCGCTGTTTTGGGTGTATCTTGTGCCTACCCCATCGGCCCTAAACCAAATCCTTTAGAGCTCGAAGCTTCGCGGTTTAAGGTTTAGGGTTCAGGGTTTAGGGGTTTGGTCATAGGGTTTAGGGTTTAGGGTGTAGGGTTTAGGGTTTAGGGTTTAGGGTCTCAGTTCTGGAGCGCATGAAATATAAGAGCGCTGCAACATGTCCACAGGATGATGAGCTTGGTGACTGATCCAACGAACCTCTTTCATGCATACAAAGTGACTGGGCCGTGGGCGGTATATGCAGATCCTAAACCCTAAGCCCTAAACCCTAAACCCTCAACCCTCAACCCTAAACCCTAAACCCCAGCCAACATCATAGAGATTGCCGACAGCTTCGTTGGCTGCTTCGACTTGACCTTGCGGTTAAGTCGAAGCTGCCCAGACCGGCATTGAAGGAAAGATTGCACGTAGAAAGCTGTACGACTTATGGATCCAAACCCAAAGCCCGAAGCCCTACGACCCACTCCTACCCGAGTCCGATAAGGGTGGAGTGTTTTTGGTGTGTAGGGTTGAGGGTTCTTAGGATTGGGCCTATAGGGTTGAACGCGCCCGAGACCCTGAACCCCGAACATAAAGGCCTCAACCGACATGTTGCCGCTGAGGTATCCTCCAATCGCCCCAGGCTATGCGTGCGGCAGGCTCTCCCCTTCCCCTAAACCCCAAACCGTGCACCCTAAACCTGAAACCCTGGGCCCAGGACCCGAAGTCTGGCTGAAGGGTGTGGGCTGAGGGTTCCGCAACATTGCTCGCTGCTGCTTCTACGTCGTAACGGTTCTTCGTGGAAAAGAAATTAGGCAAATATGTATATATATATATATAATAATCCCTCAGAGGGGAATGTAAGGGGACATGAGGTACCTACTTCCCTACGAAGAACTCGTAGACCTCGGGCTGCTTGAGTCATGCGTGTCTCCTAAGCTCAGAACCCCAATCCCTAAACCCTAAACCCTACACTCTAAACCCTACACTCTAAACCCTAAACCCTAAACCCTAAACCCTAAACCCTAAACCCTAAACCCTAAACCCTAAACCCTAAACCCCAATCCTGACGAAGAGCGAAAGTTTCTACTGCACGGATAGTCGGACCCTTCGGGATAGGGCCCCCCCAGGGTTTAGGGTTTAGGGTTGAGGGCTTGAAGTTTAGGAGTCCTCGGTTTAGGCATTTTTTTTTGTACCGGGCTTAGAGACCCTAAGCCCGAAATCCTAAACCCTAGACCCAAACCCCACCATGTTTGCCCATCACAGGGGCCTGAACTACTCGCTGCCAGAAGTGCGTGACTGGCATGCGCCTCAGAGGTGGAGTTCAACTAGGGGGCTTAGGGGGCTTAGGGGGCTCAGGGGGCTTAGGGGGCTTAGGGTTTAGGATTTAGGGTTTAGGGTTCTTAGGGGGCTTAGGGTTTGGGATTTTGGGTTTCGGAAGAGGTCGGCTTTAAGGTCTAAGGCTTATCGGGACTTTACGACTGAGGGTTAAAACATGTCGACGCTACGTTTCTCTTGGTCTTGAAGGTCGAGGTAGCTAAGGGAACCGCCCTAAACCCTATAAACGCTATAAATTGTATAAACCCTATAAACCCATAAACCCTAGAAACCCTATGAACCCTATAAACCCTATAAACCCTAGACCCTAGACCCTAAACCCCATCAACCCGTCAAATCAAAAGCCTGAACCCTTAAACCTTGTTCCCAAGACCCTGAACCCCAACCATGAACTTCCATAAATCCCTGAGCCCGATGCCCTAGACCCGAAAACCCTGAAACCTTCAGTTTAGGGTTTAGGGCGTAGGGTTTGGGGTTTAGGGTTTAGGGTTTAGCGTCTGAACCCTAACCCCTATATCCTAAACCCTAAACTGGCCCGAAACCCTAAATCCTAAACCCTAAACCCTAAGCCCTAAATCCTAAACTGCAGAGGTATGCAGACCAGCTGCAGCCCCTCTTGGACGCGGGCATGGCCTTCTGGTGGAACGACGAGGCTGGAACCGGCCCACGCAGTGGAAGGCCAACGTTTTACTCATTGTAGTTTAGGGTTTAGGGTTTAGGGCTACTTACCCATTAACCTCATGAAGCCTGACCATCCCTCATCTGCCCTGAGACCCTAGACCCTGCAGCCCCTCAACCCTGAAACCCCAACTTTAGGGTTTAGGGTTTAGGGTTTAGGGTTAGGGTTTAGGGTTTAGGGTTTAGGGTTTAGGGTTTAGGGTTTAGGATTGAGGGGTTAGAGTTTACTGTTTCGTTCCCTGCAGCCCAAGAGCCTGCACCCTGCCTCTTCAGGGCGAAAGCGACTACTTCACCTTTCACTACTGGAACGAGGCTCAGCGCCAGGCTGGCGTCTCCTTCGCTATGCCCAGTTGAGAGGCCTTTTTGTAGGGTTTAGGGTTTAGGGTTTAGGGCTTAGGGTTTAGGGTTTAGGGTTTAGGGTTTAGGGTGGTTCCGAAAGCTACTACTTTTTGCCGATAGAAAAGCCCAGAAAATGGAATATACGAATCCTTTTCTTACCCTTGAAAGGAGGAATGTTTTTTGGGGGTTCTTACGCAAAGGTAGGTTTAGGGTTTACGTTTATGGTCCAGAGTCACAGTTTAGGCCGTACTAGGTAAGGTTTTGGGATACAACCCGAAGCGCACGAAGGCATAGACCCAAACGAGGGGGAGATCATGTGCATTTGTTGGGCCTCTTCGAAAATCTACAGGAAGAGTTACATTGTCCCTCAATATGGTGCCTTACCTTCTCAAGCATGGGCCTTTAGGTTTTATAGGGTATACAAGGGGCATGTATATGAGGGTTCCCCGATGAAGGGCCCCTATTGAGAGACCATGCAAAGGCCTGAGGGTAGAACAAAGCCCTTAGCTCCAGCTCAAGGCCCCAGCCGGTCGCTCCGGAGAAAATCAAATGGAAGAATCAGAGAGAGGAGGAGGAGAAGGACTGCTGGTCCACGGTCTCTGTCTAGAGAGGCGCAGTCAGCCCCAAGCCGCAGAAGCGCAGTTTGAAGGAGTACCTCGAGGTTGAGTCTGCAAGCTTGAAGGCCCATCGGTGCCGTGTGGCTACGCAGCAGGCTGTGAGGAAGCAGCGGCCGAAGGCTTCTGTGGGCGAAAGCATGCTGCAAAAGCGCCTGGGAGAGGCGTGTTCAACGCGCCATTCCCGGAGGAACCATATCTTTCAGTTTAGGGTAAGCCCTAAACCCTAAACCCTAAACCCTAAACCCTAAACCCTAAACCCTAAACCCCTAGCCATTACCCCCCCAAAAAACTGATCCATGAATCTGGATTCTAAGTCATGCCAAGCTGTGGGCAGGTCCAAGTTTTTTGGTTTTAAGGTGAACCTAGGGATTGGGTAGGGAACCTTTAACCTTTTCGTTGTACCCTCTCTCCAAACCACGCCAGTCCTCCTCTCAGGACTCAGAGTCAGAAGGTTCCTTGAAGGGCTCATTGTTCCCAGAGTTCGCATCCTTAAGTAAATTATCGAATCCCTCCTCATCCGTCGTTGCCTCTTCCCCCGGGCTTTCCGCCTGACTTCTGAATCTTTAATTTGTAGCATGTCTCACGCTCGACGCCGGGGACTTGCTGTGCACACGTCGCGCTTTAACCTTTTCGGTTATATAGAATCCTATTGTTTTTTGGGCTAGGGTATAACCCTAAACCCTAAACCCTAAACCCTAAATTGGGGCCAGCCTGGTGAGAAGCTGTCTGATGGTCCTTCGCGGCCCGGGGGGGGGGTAGGGGCGGGGTGGTGGGGGGGGGTAGGGTTTTTTCCAAAAGAGCCCCCAGGCCCTCTGCGAAAGCGCCTGTGGTCCATGAGTTTGGTGGCCTGTTCCTCCTCGGCAGAGCTGCCTGCGGGGTACCCCCCCCTACCCCCCCCCCCCCCCCCCCCCCCTCCCCCCCGCGTTTTGGGGGGGTAAGGAGGGAAAGAGTTCACCTCCAGAAACCCATCCAACACGCCGCCAGGGTCGGCGGACCCTAAACCCTAAACCCTAAACCCTAAACCCTAAACCCTAAACCTTAAGGGCATTCAGCCCCGTAAGTTTAGGGTGCAGGGTTGTGCAGTGGAGAGGCGTTGCAGAAGTGGCAGCTGTCTGAGAGGCACCTCGGCTGCCTGTTGGCCTGGAGGGTGCAGGTAGTTGTTGAGGATTTGGGGGGGTTTAGGGTTTAGGGTTTAGGGTTTAGGGTTTAGGGTTTAGGGTTTAGGGTTTAGGGTTTAGGGTTGAAAGTTTAGGCGTCAAAGTGTTCTTTCTTTTGGGGTTGTACAGAGGTGTCGATGACCTTGCGTGCGTGCAAGCCCCTTATTGAAGGTCCTTGAGGGGGAATGGGTCTAAGAGGGGAGGCCTTGGCACGCCTACGGCTCCCTGGTTATGCCCCCCGTCCCTTACCTGAAGGTTCATGGGTACTTGTACGTAGAGCTAGAAGTGCCCCACATAAGGTTACAGATGCATATGTACATTACGGGCGAGTATTGCAAGACCGATGTCCGTTGCTGCTGCAGGCTTGGGACTATGGCCTTAAAGTGAATCTCAGACTCCATCTCAGAGATGTTTCGTAACGTTAGGGTTTAGGGTTTAGGGTTTAGGGTTTAGGGTTTAGGGTTTAGGGCTTAGGGTTGAGGATCTCTCTGATGCACTAGGCCTCTGCCCTAAATCCCAGGATCCTAAAACACACACCATCCTTGGCCTCAAGCCCCTCCTAGAACCCTACGCAGCCTTGAAGAAACCCTAGCTATATCCACTTCACCGCACACTCGTCAACCGTAAGCCCCAGACTCTGTAGGGGTTGTATAGGTGAGAGTTATAGGTTATCCCCCCCCCCCCCCCCCCCCCCCCCCAAACCCTAACCCTTGAACCCTAAACCTTAAAACCTTTGCCCAGATTTACTGTGCGCCATTGGCTTGAGGCATTTGGGGTTTAGGGTGTTCTGTCCCCCAGGGCTCCGGGTTCGGGTCTTTTGCTATGTAGGGTTTCGGGTTTCGTGGAGTTGGGATTAGGGTTTAGGGTTTAGGGCTCATAGGGCTTAGGGTTTGGGTTCAAAGGGTTTAGGGTTTAGGGCTTTTGTTTGGAGTTGGGAACGGCCAGAGCTCTCAGGTGCAAACCATATAGGGTGTTTTGGCCGGCAGAGCCTCTACCCCAAACCTTACTTAGCCAATAGTTGAACCTTAAAATTTTTTGGGGTTTCCTTATCTTGTAGGAAAAGTAAAGTTTAACCTTTTCTTCCCCTTGGTTATTGGAGAAGTAAGAAACCCTAAGCCCAAATCTCCGCCCCCAGGTTCTTCTCGGTGAATCGGGCGTTTTCTCCTGGTATGGCCCGTCTGGGCGCGACTGTCTGGACACTTTGGGGGGGCAGAACTTGGTTGGAAGTGGTAGTACAAGCAGAGACAACTAGAGTGCTACTTGGTCATCACCCTTGTTTGAGGGTCTAGAGGGTCAGAAATGCTTGGCAGGGATGTAAGAGTGACAGGGCAAATTCAAGGGATTAGACTCCCATCGTGGGCGCGTACATAGACAGCCTGTGTACGAAGCATTGTTGAATTACGAGAGCATCCGGAGCCCAGTCCACGAATGATCTCCACATTATACTTATTGCATGAATGAGGACGTATGTAGGTATGCAAGCAAACGTTGCGTGCATGTACGTACGTACGTGCCTGAGTATGTACCAAGTTGTGTCAGTACTGTGGACTGTGTGCCATACATGTGTACATCCTGTGTTCTTCTGTCTTTAGAGTTTTCATCCATCTACCCATCTATACACACGTGTGTATATGTTGTTTCACATTGCTTGTAGTACATCTCACATATCATCTGTAACACAACCGAGTGAGGGGAAAATGCAGATGGAGTCATGCCGCAGGCTTTCGTGATGTTAACAAGGTGTTTCAGATAGCTGTACCCTAAACCCTAAACTTTAAACCCTAAACCCTAAACCCTTCAGGCCTTAAACCTAAACCCTGAACCCTAAACCCTAAAGTAATCGGCCTCAAATCGGGTGTAGACCAAGTCGAAGTGTCCCGCAATTACCCGCGCAACGGGCGAGAATTTCTCTATATCCCCCTTGGGAATCATTTTTCCTTTTTGTTCATATAAAACTCAAGAGGATATTTAAAATCATATTTTTATTAAGGTTCTAAGGGGAGTATAGTTCTCGACAGGACCGGCGATGTGTTTGCGAACTGGGCAACGCTGGAAGGGACGCCAGGCCTCCCCCCCTAGCCTCCCCACCCGCCCCGAACAGGGTTCAGGGCTTAGGGGCTACTTACCCTTATGCTCAAAGTAACCCAAAAGCCCGTTCTCATAAGGGCTTGCCCAGAAGCCTTACAATAAAAGTCCTTGCCGTCTTCGGGTCATTTTTAAGAGAAGCTCCCCTAAACCCCGTCCCCCTTTCAGGGCCCGGCCTTAGCATTGGAGCTGTTTGAGCAGGATATGCGGGCTGGCGCTTCAGGGTTTAGGGTTTAGGGTTTAGGGTTTAGGGTATACTGCACAGTGCGGCGGTCTCCTCGTAGCCCCTTCTCATGGCGCTCGCCTCCACCCTGGGTAAGAATAGTTCGCAGAATGCAGCTCGAGCTTCAGGGTTCTAGGGGGTGGGGCCCCCTAGTTATAAGTAGAGTTATAAGGGCCCTAAATTGGGTTATAAGGACCCTAAGGTAGGTTATAAGTCCCTTAACTACAGTCAGTAGTAAGGGGGCCCCACCCTGTAGGGGTTTTGGTTGAAAGCCCTTCAGCAGCCCCTTGGGCTTAAGGTTCTCAGAGAGTAAGACTTCAAGGCATGGGAGTTTTTGAGGGCAGAAGGAGACCCCAAACCTTACACCTTCACGCCATCTCCGGGCACAAGTAAGACAGTAATCCCTTCAGTTTAACCATGGTATGTTGGGATGTTCCCTTTATACTCACAGTCTTTAATAGGGATCATAGTAACCGTGGTACGAAACCCCTATAGAGTGTTAGTATAAGGGGGAACATCCCAACTGGTATCCTATCTGCGACCCTCCCCCCCCCCCCCCCACGAGCCCTAAGCTCCTCCTCCCCTAAGCCCTAAACCCTATAAGCTAGGAGTGTAGATGTTTTGGTTTAGGGATAGGGTAGCTGTCCGGCGCCAGGCACTATGCTGAAATGGATTCTTGCTGGGGCACCCTACGTTAGCTGCGACTCAGGAGGCGGGGGGGGGTGAGGGTGGGGGGTGCCGCTCTCGAGGGTTCATTTTTCTGTACTGAGTATTGGTGAGTGTCTATAGGGCCCCTTGAGACCTAGTGGTGAGTGTATACATGTATATACATATATGTACATCTATATGTATATATATATATATTTATTTATGTATTTATTTATTTATTTATGTGCATATGTATATGTACATGGTCCTTTTGGGGATGCTAAGCCCTATAGACTCTGAACCCTGAACCACATTGCGCCGGTATAGGCTTAGCTTGGACCGCCAAGTGCCATGGCCTAAAGGCACCCCGTAACCCCGTATGCGTTTAGGGTTTAGGGTACAGGGTGGGGCCCCCTTACTATACTAACTGTAGTTAAGGGACTTATAACCTACCTTAGGGTCCTTATAACCCAATTTAGGGCCCTTATAACTCTACTTATAACTAGGGGGCCCCACCCTGTAAGTTTAGGGGTTTAGGACTAAAGCTTTTGATCATGGGGCACTACGGTTGCTAATGCTAAGTTTTGCCCCTCAACCCGAAACCCGACACCAGGGATTTTCGGTGTTCTGTGGGGTTTCGGAGCTAATTTCCGGTGCAAAGAACTGGGGGCTCCTGGTTCAGGATCTAGATTTTAGGGTATGGGGATTTGGGTTAGGAGGAGGAGGAGGAGGAGGAGGAGGAGGAGGAGGAGGGAGAACGTTTTATCAACAACTCTGCTCGCCTACAAAACCCAAGCCCGAAATCCTCGAAACCCTCCAGGTTTGTCCGGGCGGGTGAGTCGCCTGGTTGTAGCATGTCCTTCCCCAAACCCTGGAACACTAAACCTAAACCTCAAATCGCACAACAACTTGAGGCTTCAATGGTGAGGCGACACCCTTGCTGTTGGTTCGGTGGCTGCAGCTGCTGGGAATGCAAATGGCTCACGAAACCCTAAACCCTAAACCCCAAACCCTAAACCCTATACCCTATACCCTATACCCTATAAACCCTAAACCCTGAACCCTTTTTTCAACTTAGGGTTGAGGGTCTTGGGGGTTCCAGGAGTGGCCAGGTGTGAGAGTAGAATGACGCTCAGCTCCCTAAGCCCTGACCTTCAACCCTCAAAGGGGTGCCTCATTGTATTCCCTGCGGCTCTTAGATCCACGGGAGCGTTTAGGGTTTAGGGTTTTAGGGTTTAGGGTTTAGGGTTTAGGGCTTTAGGGCTTAGGGTTTAGGGTTTTAGGGTTTAGGATTTAGGGTTTAGGGACCCTACGTTGTGTATTTCAGCAATGTGCAGAGCCAACAGAGGGGGTGGGGTGTTCTGAAGAAAGGGGTTACCCTGTTGAGGGGTTCCGATAACCAGGGTTTTTTTGTCTGACATACCCATAGGGTGACTTGATTTAGACTAAACCAGCGGTTTGGGGTTTAGGGTTTGGGGTTTCGGGTTTGGGGGTTTAGGGTTTAGGGTTCAGGGCTCTTGGCTGTGTTTCATGCCAGCCACAGGCCCAAGGTGAGATATCTTCTTCAGCCGGTTCCGAGGTCTCATGTTGGCACTGCAGCTGGCTTGAGCCCTAAATCCCCTAATATAGGGGTCGGAAGAATTACTAAACATATTCCCTTATGTCCCCTTTGTAATTTTACTATAAGACCCCCAAAACCTTATTCCTATTCTTCAGGCACGCTATATTACAATGAGCGGTAGAAAGATCCTGTGCTTCGAAACAATGAAAAACCTGCACCCAGGCTGCTGCGGTTCTGAGCCCTGCAACAGCATGAGCCGCACACACCCTGTAAGACCTACACCCAAAATGAAGCCCCATGCCTACCAAAGAAGCTCGATAACAAATTCCTGAACCCTGAACCCGATAAGCCCCAACACCTATAACTGCTGAACCCTACATCCCAGACGCTAAGCCCCACAAGCCCGGAACCCCTGACACGATAAAAATAAGCCCTGTACCCTGGAGCCCAGAGAGTCCCTAAACCTAAACCGTATATGCCCTAAACCCCAGAAACCCTACAAGCCCTACAAGCCCTAAACCCTAAACCCAACAAGCCCTACAAACCCTAAGGTTGGCGACGTTCATGCCTGTCATGCGGACTCATTCAACGCTCCCCGGCCTCGGAATTGAGGGTTTAAGGCCTAGGGTTGTTAGGGTTTAGGGTACAGGGTTTAGGGAAAAAGGGTGGTGCCGAGGTTGGGAGTTTGATGGCGAGCCCCATGCGCACGTTGGAGATGTGTAAACCTTAGACCCTTATTAAACAAATACCCTAAACCCCAAAGCTTAAACCTAAACTCTACACCCAAAACCTAAACCCTGACACTTCTTGCTTTGTGTACGAAAGTCTAAGGTGCAGTCTTTCCTGCCATCAGGTTCTGGGCTTGCCTAGCCTACAATGCTCAGGCTCAGAAGTGCACCATTTCCCTTTTTGTTTTAAGAGCTGGGTTCTGAGAGCCGGGTTTAGGGTTTGGGGTTTAGGGCTTAGGGCTTAGGGCTTAGGGTTTAGGGTTTAGGGTTTAGGGTTTAGGGTTTAGGGTTTAGGGTTCTGGGCAACCTGGTTGGGCTTGATCAAGCCCAAGGCGGTGCATCAGATATTGACCCCAAAGCAGCGGCATCAGATATTGAAGTTTCGCTGCTCTTGCGCCTAAAGCTCGAAACCCTGGAGCGAAGGGCAGCACATAGCCACCTCCCAGGAGCCGCAGCTTAATCCCAACACCCTCCACTCTCCCCCCCTCAGATGAATTAGGGTTTAGCGCCTCGGGTTTAGGCTTTTGGGTATTAGGGCCGGTTTAGGGACCCTGGACCCTATAACCCCAGCTCTCAACCAGGATGTCCAGCAGCGTCCTTGTTCCTTTTTTTTTGGATCTCTCGTCAACCCTATCAGACGACAAATGGAGTTCTCAGATTCAACGAGGACCCAAACTCCCTCTCTCTCTCTGCCTAAAAGCATGTGTGTTCTACATTCCTACAGCTTTTAACCTCAACCCTGAACCCTTAAAGCCTTCAAAACACCTAAACCTGAACCTCTAACCCTGAACCCCCTGACGCCGCAAGCCCAGCAAAAACCGAAGCCCCGGCTTGAGATACCAAGCCCCCTATAAGCCTCAACACCCTAAAGCCCAGGCAGGATCCGAGGACCTTCACGAAGGGGGGGCTTCAGTTGATGAAGGGGCTTCATCCTCCCCTTAGAAGCCTTCGAAGCCTTCGAAGCCTTCGAAGGCGAAGGGTCGAAGGGGGGGCTTCGAAGCCCCTTCGCGCTGAAGGTCTGAAGGCCCTCTTTGGCTCATGAGAACGAAGGGGCCTTCGAAGGCTTCAAAGGCTTCGAAGGGAGGACGAAGCCCCTTCGTCCTCACCTTCGAAGCCTTCGAAGCCCCCTCCCCCTTCGTCCTCGCCTTCGAAGCCTTCGAAGCCCCCTTCGTCCTCACCTTCGAAGCCTTCGAAGCCCCCTTCGTCCTCACCCTTCGAAGCCTTCGAAGCCTCCCCCCCTTCGTCCTCGCCTTCGAAGGCTTCGAAGGCCCTCGTCTTCACCTTCAATGCCTTCGAAGCCTCTTAAGCCTTCGTCCTCGCCTTCGAAGTTCGAAGCCCCTTTCGAATCTGGGTTCAACGCAGGTTCGAATTTGCAATCCGAGTTCAACCCAGGTTCAACCTGAACTAAAGGTTGGTAGAACCTGGGTTGAACCCAGGTTTTCATTTGGGACCTGGACAGCGTAAATTACAGAATAGCACTCGTGGCAATGAGTTTCAGCGGTATAAAACAAGTCCGAGGAATCGCATTAGACGTCATCGGTAGCAGTGGTAGTAGCAGTCGACGTAGCAGAAGTAGTCGCAGCAGTAATAAGTAGTAGTAGCAGTAGCAGTAGCAGTAGCAGTAGCAGTAGTAGTAGTAGCAGTAGTAGTAGTAGTAGTAGTAGTAGTAGTAGTAGTCGTAGTAGTCGTAGTAGTCGTAGTAGTCGTCGTCGTAGTCGTAGTCGTAGTCGTAGTCGTAGTCGTAGTCGTAGTCGTAGTCGTAGTCGTAGTCGTAGTCGTAGTAGTAGTAGTAGTAGTAGTAGTAGTAGTAGTAGTAGTAGTCGTAGTCGTAGTCGTAGTCGTAGTCGTAGTCGTAGTCGTAGTCGTACCTCCATGCAGACGTCACGCGGCCGCCTGCAGCTCCAGAACTCGCGCGCGGTACTGACCTGACGCAGGACGAGAGTGCTGCAGTCTGCACCGTGATCCGAGTGCTGGCCGCGCACAACCAAGACGCGAGCTAGGCGTCGGTCTGCTTGCGCGACTGCGCCCGGGTGGTCTCGGCCTTTGAGATTTTTGACCTGACCGACGTGGCTGTGTGAGCTTCGAATTCATCTGTTGTAGCAAGGAATTGCGGTCGTACGCGTGGAAGCCAAGAGCGCCTAAAAGTAACATCGGTGGCTCTGGGGTTACTGCCTTGGCGCGCTTCGACCCTTTTCGTTCTTGTCTATATGCCGACTGACGCTGCTTGTGACCAAAAAGGAGCTTTGCCTTGTGTCCAGCTGTTGGCTTGCATGCTGCCCAAAACTTCCTAAATCTCGGCTGCTATGCGCACTTATTGGCGGCTGTCTGTACAAGCTTCATTGGTTCCCCATCCGCCCGCGCCCTGCGCCTTATGGACGCCGACGCTGCTCCGCGAAAACGCCGTCGACCCTCTGCTTTGGAGAAAGCAGCAGTGGGCAGCTTGGACATCCGCGAGGCTCTTCGTGCTGGCAGCGACCGCGCCGCTGCATCCTCTTCAACACCGCTGGGCGAGCTCTTGGCGGAACAAGAGGCCGCTTTCATCGCCTGGTCCTGGGATGAAGCATCCTCGGCTCTTCAGGCCTGGGAGGCGGCTGCCATCGATGCTGTCCCTTTGCTCCAGGAGGCCAATCTCCGACTTCTGCCGGATGATTTTCGAACCGCTTTCAATCTACATACTGCTGGTGATCGGGCATCCTTTCGCACAGCCGTCCTGGGTGCATTGCGCGCGGCGCTGGCGTGGTGGCAGGCCCAGACGACCTTGCTCGCCGCAAACCGCGCATCCTGAGGGCGTAGCCTGATTTATTCCAACTTGGTTAGCTATGCTCCGCCCTTCCAGCGCAGTAAAAAAGGCTCCCTGCTACAGTGCGTGGGTTCCTTCGGCTTCGAAGGCTTCGAAGGCTTCGAAGCCCCCTTCGCCGAAGGGTAACGGGATGCAGCCCCCTAGAGCGCTAAAGCCCGCAGCCCGAAAAACCCGAAAACCCTAAAAGGCCCTAAACCCTAAGCCCCAAAAGGCTCTAAGCTCCTCCTAAGCCGAGGCACCAAACCCTAAACCCTAAAACCCTAACCCCTAAAACCCCTAAACCCTAAACCCTAAATTCCTAAACCCTAAACCTCTAAAACCCTGAAGCCCTGCAACTTAATCCCTAAACTCCAGGCTGAACAAAAATGCCTAAACCCTCAAACCCTAAACCCCCAAACCCTATTCACCCGAAACCCCTTAAACCCGAAATCCGAAACCCGAAACCCTAAACCCCAAAACCCCAAAACCCCAAAACCCCCAAACCCTAAACCCTAAACCCTAAACCCTAAACCCCTAAACCCTAAACGGCCTAAGGCGCCGATCCACACCTCACTTTCCTTGGCTCTGGGGTCGCCGGGCTGCGACGTCACTCCGCCAGGCACTGTCGGCCTTAGGGGCCTTTCGGTTCCTTTGGGTAGCTGGAGGTAGGTTTAGGGTTTATAGTGTTTAGGGTTAGGGTTTAGGGTTTAGGGATTGGGGATCCGGGTTTAGGATTTAGCATTTAGGGTTTAGGGTTTAGGGTTTACGGTTTGGGGTTTAGGGCTTCGGCTTCTTATTGCGTTTATGGAGGCTAATCATAAGTAGAGCATCCCCAGAAAAGGCATTCTGTCCGAACTAGCTCCTCCTTTCCTGTTTTGGGTGAAGGGTTTGGAGTTTCATGGGGGTTTTGGGTTTAGTGTTCAGGGTTTCTCGAACGCGCACAACTAACCAGGAGCGCCCAATGGCATTGGTTTCTGGGGTTACTGTAATCTTAGATCCTTCACCCTGTTGGGCTTAATGGTTAGTATGGTAGCTAAACTTGAATGTTTCACTAGGTGCCAGACGTGCAGCCAAGAAGTTGCAGACATGTCAACCCTAATCTGGAGCTAAGTGGTGTCTGGGTGAACCCGAAACCTGCTACATTGGGCCAGCATGAAAGCAGTCCCAAAGTGATGAAGCCAGCACCTAGACCCCTATAGGCTATGAAGCTGCGGAATTTAGGTTCAGGCTTTATGTTTAGGGTTTCGGGGCCTTTCTCCTAATGAGGGTTTGGAAGGATGTAGTTTGATTGTCGTTGAGGTGCGGGCCGTTTCTTTGAAGAGCCAGCAATGGACTTGCTTGCAGGGTCTATGAGCTTAGGGACTCGTGTTTAGGGCAAGTCGAACATTTTGGCTTGCCTTAAGAATACCTTCCACATTTTTGCAAGGGTTTGTTGCCCTGCGCCCATCATAAAGAAACAAACGGCCTAAACCCTAAACCCTAAACCCTAAATCCTAAACCCTAAACCCTAAACCCTAAATCCTAAACCCTAAATCCTGAGCCACTTGACATGCAAAGGGGCAGGGTTTCGGGCAGCCACTGATAGCTCAAGGCCTCATGCGTGGTCCCGTTAAGCCACTCTTGCTCCATGAGGGTTTAGGGTTTAGGGTTGAGGGTTGAGGGTTTAGGGTTGAGGGTTTAGGGTTTAGGGTTTAGGGGGGCCGAAGGTACATGGATCAGATTCCATTACGTTTTCCCCGACCAGAACTTCGAAAAGTACGTTTTATCTCAACTGGGCTTCGGGTTTCTTCAACTCAACTGGTCGGGCTTCGGGTTTAGGGTTAGGGTTCTTCGAGGTGTATTCAGGTTCCTACTGAGATTTCGGGAAGGTTTCTTGGTGAAGGGTGCCGTTTGCAAGTTCTGGGGTTAAGCCCTCAAATTCCTTGAGCCCTTTTGTCTTAAGCCCTACACCCCTACACCCCTACACCCCTAAACCCTAAACCCTAAACCCTAAACCCTAAACCCTAAACCCTAAACCCTAAACCCTAAACCCTAAGCCCTAAACCCTAAACCCTAAACCTCTTGTTCTGTTTCATATCCCGACCAGGCTCTGAACCTTCGCTACCGACTCTTGCGGCTGCCTTACCTGAACTGATCTTCAGCCCCTTCACCCAGCATGGTTCCTTAATAAACCCTAAACCCTAAACCCTAAACCCTAAACCCTAAACCCTAAACCCTAAACCCTAAACCCTAAGACCTAAACCCTAAACCCTAAACCCTAAACGATAATCCCCTATAGAACGGAGCTTATGAACTCAGCAACTAAGGTTCCGAGACATTTCAGGTGCACTTGAGGGTCATCATGTACGTGTTTCTTGGGGTTTAGGGTTTATGTGTGTGTATATGTGTGTATATATATATGTACATACAGATGATGTAGGCTAGGGTGGTTATTGCATTTCCGGTGCGTGTAGGCATGCTCCCTTAAGATCATTACACGGTGAGTTGATATGATGAGTGTCCTGTTGGTGATACAAGAAAGTGAAGCCCTACTCTGCATCCGCTTCATAAGGTACCATGAACTCACCCACACTGCTGTCGTGGTTATTCTGAGGCCATACCACTACTCCCTTGCCCATGCACAGTATGCCCGTGGCGAGCCGTCTCTCGACTGGCAGGGCATGCACTATTGAAAGTGTTCGGTTCAGGGTTTTTGGTTGAGGGTTTGGGCTCTCGAGTTTATGATCGGGTTCAGTGCTTGGGGTTTAGGGTTTGGGCCATTGTGGCGTCATGTTGCGTCCTGAAAACCCAAAGCACCCCTCTAAGCCAGTGACTGCCCCTCATCAGTCAGTTTCATTCATTGAGTTCTGACTTCAGGATCCTAAACCCTAAACCCCAAACCAACGTAGACTCTAAACCACCCTAAACCCTAACCCTAAACCCTAAACCCCAAACCCCAAACCTCAAACCCCAAACCCTAAACCCTAAACCCTAAACCCTACACCCTGAACCCTGAACCCTGAACCCTGAACCCTAAACCCTAACTCTACAGTACCCAAAAGCCCCTCACCAAGCGATGGCAAGGTGGATCCGACCGCTGCTCATGGACTTCCCCTCAGATCCCGAGGCCTTTCCTGGGACGAAACTGCCCACACATGAGACCCTAAACCTAACCCTAAACCCTAACCCTAACCCTAAACCCTAAACCCTAAACCCTAACCCCTAACCCTAAACCCCAACCCCTAAACCCTAAACCCTAAACCCTAAACCCTAAACCCTAAACCCTAAACCCTAAACCCTAAACCCTAAACCCTAAACCCTAAACCCTAAACCCTAAACCCTAAACCCTAAACCCTAAACCCTAAACCCTGCACGGTTTGACTTTCCACTACGTGGACCACACTACGCCTTACATCAACCCTCAAAGTTGTGATGACATGCCAACAGCTATTTCCTGTCAAGAAGTATGGAAGCCTTAAGTCACCCCCGCAACCCACCCCCCCCCCCCCCCCCCCCCCCCCCCGACAAAAAGGTAAAAAAAAAAAGCAAAGAGAAAGAACACCTACGACAGATGTTATACCCTATACTGCTGCTAACAATAACCTGGTTAAGGCATATGGGGATTGAGCTACAGGCACATTCTACAGGCACATCTTGCGAAATCACTGAGGGTTCCTATATGAGTTTATAGGCGGAGCACGTCTTTTGATCGACTGCCATATTGTCCAAAAGCTCTTCAAACTCCAAACCCTACACCTGACATTCGGAATTCGGTTTCAGGTAGGCTGAAAGGTTGGTGGCATGAACCAATTTTGGAGTTCAGACTTTAAGCCTAGACCCTAAAATCCGAAAGCCTAAAACCCGCTTCATAAGGGAATTTGGGGGCTTTGGGAGGGTTTATGGGGTTGAGGGAGCTTGCACTGTCTGGCAGTGCAAAGCTTTCAGAATCATCGGTGCGATAGGATTTTAGGGTTGAGGGTTTTCCCGGAGCTGCTCGGAGTCCTCGGCCCCCCAGGCTTCTGACCCCTCGGCCCCAAGCCCTGAAGTCGAGATTCAGAGTACCCCAAGTAATCACAGGGTGGGGCCCCCTAGTTATAAGTAGAGTTATAAGGGCCCTAAATTGGGTTATAAGGACCCTAAGTTAGGTTATAAGTCCCTTAACTACAGTTAGTATAGTAAGGGGGCCCCACCCTGCAGATCATGGACCATCCCTAAACCAATGTTGCTACTCTCAGCCGCGAGCCAACACCCTCACCGTTAAGTTCTATCCCCAAACCCCAATCCCTAAGCCTAAAGATCCTAAACCCCGAACCCCCCAAACCCCCCAAACCCCCCCAAACCCCCCAAACCCCCCAAAGCCCCCAAACCCCCCCAAACCCCCCAAACCCCCCAAGCCCTGTGCCTACCCCGAACGCTGAGAAGTTGCCAGGCCTCTCTCCTTCCTATCGCACGGGTTTTCATGGAGGCTTTAGGGTTAAGGTCGTCGATGTTTGTTCGCAAAAGTGGGCATGCCCATAAAGAATAAATACTGTCATGCTTATCATAGAAACCCGTTATAGAAGGCCTAAGTCCTAAACCCTAAACCCTCAACCTCAACCCTCAACCCTAGACCCTAAACCCTAAGCCCACAAGCCCAAGAAACTTTTAATCTTGCAAGGCCTGAAAGCTTATCGCCCGACCCAAGGCCCTAAACCCCAACTCAACTAGTGTTTAGGGGCTAGGGTTTGGGGCCCAAGCCCTAAACCCTAAACCCTAAACCCCGACGCAACTGCCAAAAGGTGCAGGATGTTACCAGCATGTGGATGGACGGGGCCATCCTCGTCGCACCCATCCTCACGCGGCACCCGCGGTACGTGGAAGCCTCGGCGTGCGCTCCTGCCGCGGGTTTAGGGTTTAGGGTTTAGGGTTTAGGGTTTAGGGTTTAGGGTTTAGGGTTTAGGGTTTGAAGGGCTTAGAGTTTAGGGTTCAGGGTTTAGGGTGTAGGGTTTCTGGTTTCCCTAGAAGGGTTTAGGGTTTAAGGCCTAGAG